GGAATGACTCTCCCAAACATGTATTGAGTCAGGCATGTCATCAGAATTAGGAACCAGATTCCTTCTGCCTCTGAGCGCAGTCGCACACACAGATATCACTTGTCAGTTCTGCTGACAACAGCCATGCAATTGCAGGTGTGTAGGACATCTTGAATGGCTCACTACCACACAGGAGGAGCTGAGAAGAAAGTCCTTACGGAGAAGAGATGAGAAAGACAGACTTCCAAACCAAGAAACATAAAAAGAGTTACTAAACTACCTTTCCATGAATGGGGCATTTACCTTTTTAATTATACATGCCTTTCATCTTGCTCACTGTACATAGTTTGCTAAGATCGTGCTTTTGGGAGTTTTTGCCTAAGCCTTTCTTTTCAAAACAAATGCTTCACTGCTCTTCTTTTGCAAATAAAATGATACCATTAGTTCAGTGCTATTGAAGAGCTGGGCAGTAACAAGCAATGTGCAGCAGCAGCAACACAAGACGACAAGGGGGAGGAAAAAGCAAATATTTGTTAAAAGCAGAAAAGGGGAAAAATAATTTTCTAAACAGGAGAGAAGAATCTTGGAAGCAAATTTTAAAATGTATTGTGAGGAAAAGCTTCTGTGACAGGAAAAAATAATCATCTGACTAGGCAGAAATAAACAGTAAAACTGCTTTCATATATGAATAACACTTACATACTCCCACAGCAAGGGAATGTGATTGAAATTGCCAAGATAAAGACAGAAAAATCAGGAAGTTCCAGAATTAAGGTTGCCCGAGAAGGCTTCATGCGGCCAGTCTGTGTGTATGCATGATGAGACAGTTTTAAATATCACAAAAAAATCACAAAATAATTTGCCCACAGGACCATCCTTGCTTAGTGCAAAGGATAGATGAATGGTTCTCACTTAATGAAAACCTATTCTGTGTTTTGTTTTCCCCTTAGCAAGTGATCCTATCCCTCATTTATGGCTTACTGCCCAAGCCTTGCTCTGAAAACTAATGCACTAATGTTTTCTATGGGCTCTTCCAGATTGCTCATCATTGCAGCCTTGACTTTTTTTAAGAACTATGAAAGCATTTATGTTTACAATAGCATTATGAGGGGAGGGCTGACTTGGCTCCATTTTAGACACAAGAGAAATTCATGTCAAAACATAACTGCTGATTTTACGTGCCTATTTGAGGATGCCTGGCTTTTCAGGGTAAAACAGCGTCATGTTGTACGTCATATCTTTCAAAGTATGGAGGTCAACATCTAGGTGCTTTAACCATTAGATTGATCTGTCAGATCAACTATCTTCCTTAAAACTTCTGCTTTTTGTTAATTAATCGCCTACAGTAGAATTCGTCTCATCTGTTTTGTATCTGCCTTTGTCTAGTTGTGCAATTCCAGAGATGCTGGAGAAGATGGGCACGTCTCAGGGTGAGATAGCAGGTACTCTGTGACTGCCATCAGGAGATTGGCTTTGTCTCCATGTTTTCCTCTAAAAACAGCGAAAGCTAGGCAAGGTGAAGCCAGTCCCTGCTGGTTTGTCAAGTGCACCCTGCAGGAGGGGGCTACCAACTTTTGCCCCAGCCTTCCACAGCCTGTCCTTACACTCATGTCCTGGAAGCCCAGTCAGGCACCTCTCCTGTATTATCTATGTTGTGGATCTATGGAGTTAATTCTGAAAACAACATCTGAAAGTCCTGTAAGTACCCTGAGGGTCATGCGCACTCTTAGTGTAATTCTGTGCATGAATGTCTCCCCAGGCGTTATCCTACTGCTGTCCTGAAGGCATCATTATATTCCTGAAATCAAAGGAGTTGCATGTGGGAGGAAAATATAGACACAAAGTTCATCAGAACTCCATATGTCAGTAAAAGGTAAATAATCACAGGCGTAAATCACTGCAAGATAAGTCCTTAATTATTTAGGGTTAAACAGCAGCAGCATTGCAGATGCGAAGTAATGTTCTGTTAACCGCTCATCCTGGGAACACTTATATAGAAAAATATTATTCTGTACAAGAAAGGAAGGCAAAATGTGGATTGTGATGCTTAGAAACATTTTCAAATGAATAGGAAATAATATTAAAAAGTATGAACAAAAAATCTATCCAAAGGAAAAAAAAAAAAAAAAAAAGCTGTCACAATTTTTTTTTTAAGTTAATAGTAGTTTCAGCTATTTCAAATATCTCTGAGATGCTTCTGCTAATTTCTTTTTGCAATTACATTTCCTTATTTTTTCACCTTTCCTGTCTTACTGTATGAAAACCCTGCACTAAGCACAGGAAAAATTGACTAACCTGCAGTAGTGAGTGAGTTTAACTGACTAAGTGGTAACACAAACAAAGTGCTTTCAAATTCACAGATCAAACTAGCTGGGAAGAAAAAAAAGATATAAAAAAAATTCTTCAACTCCTTTCCTGCATACTCTGCCTTCCATAAAAAATTAGTAGTTTAAAACCTTCCTGGGAAGGAAAAAGGAGTGCGAGTGAGGGTTTTTGACTAATAGTACTCTCTTATTTAAGGAGAAGGAAAAAAAAGGAAAAAAGGAAAAAAAGGAAATTGGTCTTGCATTTATGAAATCATGTGCCAGATTCTCAGCTGGTGCAAAACAGCAGTACTTCCCTTGCTTAGGGGATGTAATTCCAATCTATGTCAGCTGAGGACCTGGATCGGAA